GAGTTGAGTTGTGGTGGTCACCTGCCAGAGCCCTTGACTTGAGACCACTGTTCAAGTGCATTCTTCTTTAAAACATGGTTGACATTGGTTCCTCTCAAACAAATTAACATTCCCATCACAGCCAGCTTAGCTGTCAGAACTAACAAGCTGGTATGTAAATGTTGGCAGAGAAAAAGGATAGTAGAGGCATTTTATAATTAATCCAGAGATTATGATGGACATGTGACTTTTTAAAAATAAAATAATTGTTCCTGAACAACATGGGGGACAGGACCAGGGTTGGGTTTTAGAGTCTCACACACTTTCCTTCTTCTTCTGGCCCATTAATTAATTAATCTAGACTTTAGATTCCAGAACCAGTTTGATTCCTTTCAGGAAGGCCTGCATTCATTGAGAGTTAACCCTCTGATCATCTAGGGTTGACAATGATTAAATGCACTAAATGCCAAAAAAAAAAGGAAAGAAAAAACAACCAGTTGTTACCAAGTTGGTTCCAACTCATGGCGACCCCATGTGTGCCAGAGTAAAACTGTGCTCTGTAAGGTTTTTAATGGCTGATCTTTTAGAAATAGATAGCCAGGCCTTTCTTCTGAGATGCCTCAAGGTGGACTTCTACCTCCAACTTGCAGTGAGTAGCCAATTGTGTTAACTGAACTACCGGGACTCCTCACTGAAGAGGTTGTTAATTCTGGGAATGCTAGGTTGAACAAGACAAACTTGACTTCTGCCCTCAGTCTTTAAGAAGGAGGTGAAGTAGGACCCTAAAAAAAAAAAAAAAAAAAAAAACAGTAAAAAGATAAAGGGGAAAGCCTAAAGGTTGCTCATATTTAGAATGTAGTCCGAGGAGTAATAGTCAAGAGAGACGGCAAAAGAGAAGCTGGAGTAGGGAGTAGAAAAAACAAGAGTAAAGTTAAGAATGCCAGGGAATCTAAGGATGGTTCATTCCCAGGTTCAGAAGCAGGAATTAAATGTAGAAGAGTGAGAACTGCAGACAGATAATTGGAATTGGCTACAAAGGTCCAGGTTCATGAGAAAAGCAGGGTGGAGTCCTACGTGTGTGCAGAGTGATAGCGTGAGACAGAGGGGCCCTTTCACACGTTCATTAGTGAAGGGGAAGCAGAACTTGCAGTGCATTGTGGGCCAAGGAAGAAGTTTAAAGGCTGGGCAAAATGGACAGAGGGCAACTGGGAGAATGCCTTCTTATTTAGATTATTTTAAATAATAATGTGGGTGCTTGCTTCAGCAGCACATATACTAAAATTGGAATGATACAAAAAATATTAGCATGCCCCCTGCACAAAGGTGACACGCAAATTTATGAAGACTAGCTCTAGTAGCATAGTGCCTAAGGCACTTGACTGCTAACCAGAAGGCTGACAGTTCAAACCCACCAGCCACTCCTCGGAAGGAAGATGGGACAATCTACTTCCGTAGTGATACTGCCTTGGAAACCCAAGGAGGGGTCACTATGGGTTGGGTCTGACTTGATGGCACATAACAACAACAACAATAATACTGGTATATGCACAATACTGCATTACCACTAACACGAAACACCAGGCTACAGATAAATACATAGACAACTGAGAAGATCAGATGGGGGTCAGTGAACAGGAATGTGCCCTAGACCAATGACATATTCAGCTGAGGATAATCTTGCACAGATACTAGTGATACAAAATAACCCAATCATTACAGAAGCAACAGAAAACAGACTTGGAGCAATCCCTCAGAGACCACCAGACACCTTGGGAGAGAACCACTGGATCTGCTGACTCAGGACCGCAGTACTGGGGGACACCAGACTCTATTGGTACAACATAATACATAAAAATCTTGTTCCACAACCTACTTTGGTGAATAGCGACTTGGGTCTTAAAAGGTTTCAAGCGGCCATCTAAGATGCAGCTAATGGTCTCCTCTCTTCTGAAGTGAAGAAGAATGAAGAAAACCCAGGGCATTTGGAAACAATCAGCCCTAGGACATGAAGGTTCTTGAGATCAGAAGAACTAGATAGTGCCTGGCTACCAATGCCAACCATTTGGGAAGGGATCAAAACTGGAGATCCTGGATAGAGTGGAAGGAAAAACGTCAAACAAAATGCAAAAACACAATAACAACCAGAATTACTGGTTGGGTGCAGTCTGATGGGACCCCCAAGACTATGGCCCTGGGATACACTTCAGGCCTGGGATAAAACTCACTCCCAAGGGCTGGTTCTCAGCCCAATAGTAAATAAGACATACATGCAGAACACCCAACCCAGGGCGATGCACCCATCTATTCTATGGAGATACACCCCTTAGAGCAATCGGCCATGGGGCACTAGAGGGGCAACATTCACACAGAGGAAAAGCTAGACAGACAGGAGTGCATAACTAAGAAGGGCATAGGGATGGGGGGGTGTCACTGGGAAGGGAGAGGAGGAGAGTGGGTTAGGGCTGGAGATGGCAATTGGGGAGTGAAGCCAAATGCACATGAACTGTTGAATGTACAACAAATTCTGCTCTGTAAATTTGCACCCAAAGCACAATATAAATAAATAAATAAATAATGATGTGAATCACCAAGAGGAGAATGGAGAAATAAATTATGGTGGACCCATAAAATGGAAACTGCATAGTAATTTAAAAATAAACTATTGCTATCTACAACAGTATGAGTGAATTACACTGACATAATTTTGAGCAAAAGAAATGAGACACAAAAGAATACATAATGTACGATTCCATTTATATCAATTTCAGGAACAGGCAAAATAATACATAATAGTAGATATTAGAATAGTGGTAACTTGGTAGGTTGGGGGAGAGATATGGTTTGGAAATGTTCTATAAGAACCTTGGTGATGTATCTGTATATAAAAAACTAAGCTGTATATTTAGTATTTGTGCACACAACGATATACTTTGTAACTTGGTTAAAATAAATCTTTAAGAAAACCAACAAAAAAAGACAAACAAGATATATGTATGTGTAGTACCTATTGCTGTATAAAAACATTACCCCAAAACTTGGCAACTTAAAGCAACAATCCTTTATTATTTCACAGTTCTGTAGGTCAGGAATTGGGGATTAGTTTAGCTGGGAGATTCTGGCAGAAGGTCTCACATGTGAGTGCAGTCAAGATGCTGGTTAGGGCTACAGTCATTTTGAGTCTTGACTGGAGCTGGAGCATGGCTCACTAACATGGCTGTTGGCAGGAGGCCTCAGTTCTTTGCCAAGTGGCCCTCTCCGTGAGACTGCTTGAGTATCCTCAAAACACAGCAGCTAACTTCATTCATATCAGTGATACGAGACAGAGCAAGATGGAAGCCACTATGTCTTTTACAACCTAGCCTTGGAAGTAACACATCATCACTTCTACAATATTCTGTTCATTAGCAGAAAGTCACTATACCCAGCCCACACTCAAGGTAAGAGGAATTAGGCTCCATTTCTTTTTTTTGTTTTTTAAACAACACATCTATGCTGTTGTTAGATGTCATTGAGTCTGTTCTGACTCACAGCAAACGTATGCACAACAGAATGAAATGCTGTCCAGTCCTGCACCACCCTCACAATCTTTGCTATATGTGAGCCTATTCTTGCAGCGTGTATCCATTCATCTCATTGACGGATTTCCTCTTTTTTCTGATTTGGTGGCATAATGCCTAAGGCATTTGACTGCTAACCAGAAGGCTAGTGGTTCAAACCCACCAACCACTCCTCGGAAAGAAGGTTGGGCAATCTACTTCCATAGTGATAGCCCCTCGGAAACCCAAGGAAGGAGGGGTCACTATGAGTGAGATCTGACTCAATGACAATGAGGGTTTTTTTTTTTTTTTTAATTGTGATTTGTGTGAAGGTTTACAGAGCAAATTCACTTCCATACAGCAGTTCACACACACATTGTCTCATGACATTGACTACAATTTACCACAATGCAACAGCTCCCCTCCCACTTCTTCCCCATAGTTATCTCTTCCCTCCGTCCATCCCTCCATGCACTCCTGTGCCCTGAGCTGTCTCCCTGTGCATACACAGCCCTTCTTTCTCCTATGATTGTTCTCTCCAAGGAGTGTATCTACCTCAGGTACATGTTCAACTCATATGCCTGTCTTTTGTTTGGCTGGAAGCTACAGATGTGGGTTCAATTCCAGACCTGAAGGGCAGCTAGGGGCCATAGTCTCAGGGGTTCCACCAGGCTCTATCAGACCAGCAAACCTAGTCCATCCCTTTCCCCCCCACCCCCAAATGATTTTGAGTTTTGTTCCACATTATTCTCCCTATCCAGGATCTCCTACATAGATCCCCCTTTGAGTGGTTGACAGTGGTAGTCAGGCACCATCTAGTTCTTCTGGTCTCATAGTCATATAGGCTGAGGATCACATGTTGTACTAGTTGCAAGGACTAATTGTTTCCATGAATCTTTGATTTTCTTCATTCTTCTTTGCTCTGTACGAGGAGAGACCCATCGTTGCATCTAAATGGCTGCTTGCAAGCTTTTAAGATCCCAGTCGCTACTTGCCAAAGTAGGAGGTGGAACAATGTAATGTGTAGTATGTTATGTCAATTGAGCTTGATGTCCCCTGCAACTATGGTGCCGTAGGCTCCACTTCTTGAAGGAAGAGCATCAAAGAATTTATAGGCCCATTTTACAACCACCACAGCACAGAACTGATTAATTTAGTATCCCCAACTGTTTGAAAGTTTGGTAGTCAAAGGACAGGGTCCAAGAAATCCCCTTTGGTAGGTAGAAAAATGGCCCTCAAAGATATCCACTCTAATTCCCTGAACCTGTGAATAAGTTATGTTACACAGCAAAGGACAGCAGAAGCAGTGAGCTTAGAAAAGAGGTAAGAAACAGCTAGTATGAAATAAAATATGGAATCCTATTAATCCCTCTTTTGTCAAACTAGAGCCAAAGAATCACACTCATGGCAGGATAATTTATTAAAACACTGTTACCTCTGTGTCTTTACTTTCATTTCAAGCTAGCAGCCAAGCTTCATCTTCCCTCAGTTAGGGGACTGGGGGCAGGACAGAAAGTAGAGCAGTCAGAGGTTACTGGCCCATACCCACAGAAGCAAAGGCCTAAGAACCTCTAGAGGGATGTGACTCCTTCAGAGGAGGGGAGAGGAAGCCGTAGAGGAGGCCAGGAGGTAGATCTTCAGATCCCAGGAAGAGCACCAAGTTCTGTAGGAACCCAGGCCCTGCTAGTTGTCAGGGGAACAGTGCAGGCAAGAGATTCCCCACCCCATTCCCCCAAGACACCAGGCCCCACACATAGTGCAGGTGCAGTAAGGCAAGGACAAGAAGGGACGAATTGGATAAGACGATGAGGGTCTCCTGTGTTTTGACCTACCCATGTGAGACCTGGGACCTTTGCAGAACCAGGTGGTGTGGAGGGAGGAGGTGGCTGTAGGAGAGATTTTGAGATAACTTAGGTAGTTTCCCACTAATCCATCAGGAAGCAGGAAGAAGGGTTCAAATCTGAAATATGTTGATTTAGAACAAGAAAACGGACACTCCTTGCATATTTAAGTTTTGGACTAATATTCAAAACAGTGACCCCGTTTTGACTTTCAACGAAGATTTTAATCTCCCAGTGGAGGCCTGGGGTGGGATGATATTAGAGAGGGCAACAAGTCCTTACTGTGCAGCTCAAGGAGCTGGGAGGAGCTGTTGTTAGGTTCTATGACTGAAGAAGGTTGGAAGAATGTCCTTGGTTGCACTGGGGTTGAAGTAAACCTGAATCAGAAGGCAGCTTCAGATGTCAAGGGTGAGAAAGGTGCCCAGGCCTGGTGTGGAATTTTCTTGCAAGATGGGGAAAAAGGCAGGAATCTGAGACAAGTTCAGGCCAGCAGCTGTGGACACACCCTCCCCACCAGAGGTGAAAGGGCATCTTGGGAGTAAGCTCCTCCCTCCTGAGACTCTGCAGTAACCTCTGGACTTGGTTACCTAAGTGCCCCTTCCAGATGCCACTGATGCCCATGGTGTGCATGTCCTCTGTGTTAATGGTGGGAGGTAGTGTCCATTAATAATCTCACCCCCTCCAGAAAACCATCCAGTGGGGTCTGATGCAAGTGCAGCCCTGTCACACTCCCTTTGTGATTCATGAGGTACCCAAGTGAGAAAAGGCACCTACCTCTGACAGTAGTTTTCTGAGGGGCCACACAACAAACCTTTCTCCTGCAGAGGACAAAGCGGCACAAGAACAATCATTTCTCCCTGGCCCAACATGGCCAGCCTGATGGTCCCCTAATCAGGCCTTGCTATGACAGGATAGAATAACCCAGTGGCACTTTGTTGCTGGCACATCTAAGGGTAAACCATAAAAACCAAACTCACTGCCATCGAGTAGTTTCCAACTCATAGCGACCCTCTTTGGGTTTCCGAGGCAGTATCTCTACAGAAATAGATTGCCTGGTCTTCCTTCCAAGGAGTGGCTGGTGGGTTTGAACCACCAGCCTTCTGGTTAGCAGTCAAATACCTTAGGCACTACACCACCAGAGCTCCCAAGGGTAGAATCCAATATTGTCATGGCTTAGGATTCTCTTTGGGTCTAGAGGGCAAGAAAGTTAAGAGAGAGCTCTAGACTAGGGAGGCATTCAGAGGACATCAGAAGGATGGTGTGAGTCCCTTTACAAGAGGTAGGGGAGTGAGGAGGCTCAGAGACAGTCAGAGAGGAACAGGACCCCAGAGGTCCTGTTCTAGCCCTGGTGCTGGGATTGGGCTGGGCTTCACTTACGCAGGCCCTACAATGAGTGGAATCCACTGAGTCCTGTTTTATTCGTTGTGGTACCATGATCTTCCTGTGACAAACAGACGTCTGTGCTCCATCAGCTCCACACATTTTATTGAGCCTGAATGGTGAGTGTGAAGCTGTATTTTCCATAAGCTTGAGTTCCTGCCAGTTCTTTGGTCCTTTTCTAAGGGTTCTGGGAATCAGAGTGGGGACAGAGGTTTGGCAAGACCCTTTCCAAGATGACAAGGCAATCATCAGTAGCAATGGTGGCCATGGAAGGCCTTGACTCCAAGCCATTGGGGCAATAGAAACCAAAACCACTCCTTGGAGAACCAAGTGTCATCTGGACACTGAAGGCACTAGCAAAGTGAAGGGGGACTCTTTAGGGACAAGAAGAGATGGGTTCAGGTTATACTTACAGTTTGTTGTTTTTCTGGATATTTATTAAGATGTCCATCTTCTCATCCATATCTTTCTGCAGGTCCTTTAAGGGAGAATTCAAAGCTAGAATCTGTGTTTTAAAGGGCTTTTGAAACCTACTTCCCCCAGACTCTCTCTGCAAACCATTTAGAGATTATCCTGTCAGCTTATTTCCTCAAAAATCCTCACTAGACTTGGGTGAGGTGGCTGTAGGAGAGGGAGGTGGCAACTTGTACCACTTCTCCCTTCCCCTCTTCCCATTCCATGATGAGGTGAAGCACAAGTAGAATCATTAGGGGACTTGTCTCACATCTCTCTTTGAGTCACAGGTCAGGAAATCATTTATCCGATCTCATACCTTGAATAAAACCAGGAGATGTCTTGGTTCAATGCCTATAAAGTGATGGAACCAAGAAAACAAATCTTCTGACCCCAAAGGCATTTTGAATCCAATGCTGTGACCCCTGCCGTGCACTCAGGCCCTATGTATTTATAATTGCTCTATCTTTTACCCAATTCCTGGAAGATCTGGTCAACACAAAATAAAACTGATGGTACTTAAAGTAGCACATACATTCTTTTTTTTTTTTACCAAGAACTGACAGCAGAATTAAACATTCTTGGCAAAGTTTAGACTCATAAAATTTGACCAGGGAAAATTGGGCTTGATAAAAATAGTAGCCACAAAAGATGTTCTGAGGTGGCAGAAGGTATATTTGATAATATCCACTATGGACAAAATCAGGTTTGATTGGTCATCACAAAATATAAAAGACAAATAATTTACTCCAGTGAAAATAATTTTAATTAAAAAAATGAAACATTTGGAAGCAGTTTATTAGATCAGCTGTAGAAAATTGATCAAGGAATTATGGTGCCTGAATAGAGACAATTTCAGAAATATTTTCTTGAAAAGCAATTTTAAATGTTAGTATAAATTTGGAGTAAAATATCTGCATTCATAAACACAGTGAAAATATCCTTGAAAACAAAATGCACCCTAGAAAAATTTGGAGTCAAAACGTCCTTTGGTCTCACCAAAAAAAAAAAAAAAAAAATCCATTGCCGTGGAGTGGATTGTGACTCATAATGACCTTATAGGACAGAGTAGAACTGCCCCATAGGATTTCCAAGGCTGTAAATCTTTATGGAAGCCAACTGCCTCATTTTTCTTTCGAGTTCCAACAGTCAACCTTTCAGCTAGCAGCTAAGCGCTTAACCACTGCACCACCAGGGCTCTTTCTAGTCTCACAGGTACTTCAAACTCATTATATGCCAAATTCATCTCATTTTCCTGTCTAAATTAGCTTCATTTCCCAACTTTCTTGTCATTGTCACCACTTCCTTCTAATCACCCAGATTAAAACTTTGGTGTCATAATGGATGCTTACCTCTCCTTCAATTTCTATATTGAATCTGTCACACAGAGCTGTTATTTTTCCTTAGATGCATCTTTCAGAATTATTCTTTCCCTTCTATTCCAACACCTAGCCCTGTTTTCATCACCTTGAGCCAGGATGCAGGCTCCTGGTGGGTGTTCTTGCTGCCAGACAGCCCCCACCTGCTCCCTACATACCCCTTACACACACACACACACACAGGGCCAGCCACCTTGCAAACAGCTGCGGGCTAAGCTTTCTGAAGTGCTGCTCCTAGCATGTTCTTTGATTAAGAATCTCCAGAGTCCTCTTACTGCTTACAGATCAAGTCCCAGCTTGTCTGCCTGTCTTTCAAAGGCCTTCATTATCCACTGCCTTTGTGCCTATTCAATTTATTTCTCACAGTGTCCCCCAGTGATCCCACTTTATGACTGATCTCCCCACTGCCTGGGATACACGTGACATTCATCCTGCTTCCCTGCTGTGTTCAAGCTGTTCCTGGGCCTGAAAGAGGCTCCTGGTGCTCTCTGTAGCCAGTCCTACCCACTAACAAAACTAAACTCTTAATTGGGTTTGCCTCCCCCAACCAAAAAATATCTGTGTGTGTGTGTGTGTGTGTGTGTGTAGTTTGGGTGATAGTTTACTGAGAAAATTGTTTTCCATTCAACAGTATATACTCATTTTGTTTTGTGCCATTGGTTGCAATCCCATCAATGGAACAGCACCCTTCCCCCTTTCTCCCTCAGTTCCCTGTCTACACCCATTCTTCTTTCCTGCCCCTTCTGGCTTTCTGAGCTTTGCTTTTGGTCTTATGTTGCCCTTTTGGTCTCAGATGGTTGATTGTAGAATTTGCCTTTTAATATAAAAAATAATACATGTTCACTTTAGAAATTTTGGAAAATTTGGAGGAATATAAAAGGAAAAAACTCTCACCACCCAGAAATAACCACAATGAACTATTTCAGCATATACCTGTTCAACTTTTTTCTGTATGTTTATTTACTCATTTTCAACTAGTTGAAAACAACTGCATATATCATTTATGTCTTGCTTTTTCACTTTTCATTATAAGTATTCTTTCTAAACATTGTCTTTGATAGTTCCTAATTTTCATTATATGAGTATACCATTATTTACTTGGCCATTCCTCTCCTGTTGAAAATTTTGGTTTGTTTCTAAAATTTTGCTATTATAAATAATTCAGTGTTGAATATCTTTTTTATGTAGCTGTGTTAGCATTTCTAATTCTCATTGGTTAGATTTTGAGAAGTGAAAATGATAAGTCAAGGGTTTTGAAATTTTTGGATATTTATTATCTAACGCACTGAAGACACTGGTGAAAACTAAGGCGCCAGGAATCAATGGAATACCAGTTGAGATGTTTCAACAAACAGATGCAATGCTGGAAGTGCTCATTCATCTATCTCAAGAAATTTGGAAGACAACTACTTGGCCATCCAACTGGAAGAGATCCATATTTGTGTCCCAAAAAAAGGTGATCCAACAGAATGAGAAAATTATCAAACATATCATTAATATTGCACATGAGTAAAATTATGCTGAAGATAATTCAAAAACATTTGTGGCAGTACATAGACAGATAATGCCAGAAATTCAAGCAATATTCAGAAGAGGACGTGGAATAAGGTATATCATTGCTGATGTCAGATAGATCTTGGCTGAAAGCAGAGAATACCAGAAATATGTTTACCTGTATTTTATTGAAGGAACTCTAGTGGTGCAGTGATTAAAGTATTTGACTATTAACCAGAAGGTCAGTGGTTTGAACCCACCAGCCTCTCCGCAGAAGAAAGATAAGGCAGTCTACTGGGGCAGTTCTACTCTGCACCGTAGAGTTGCTATGAGTTGGAATAATGGTAATGGTTAAGTGGGTTTCATCAACCATGCAAAGGCATTTTCAAATTATGGATAACACTGTGAAGAATGAGAATTCCAGAACACTTAATTGTGGTCATGCAGAACCTGTACATAGACCAAGAGGCAGCCATTCAAAGAAAACAAGGGGATACTGAATGGTTTAAAATCAGGGAAGGTAAGCATCAAGTATGTATATTTTCACCATACTTATTCAATCTGTATGCTGAGCAAATAATCCAAGAAGCTGGACTCTATGAAGAACAAGGCATCAGATTAGAAGAGGACTCATTAACAACCTGCAATATGCAGATGACACAACCTTGCTTGCTGAAAGTGAAGATGGCGTGATGCACTTACGGATGAAGATCAAAGACTAGAGTTCAGTATGTATTACACCTCAACATAAAACAAAAATCCTCACAACTGGACCAATAACCAACATCATGATAAATGGAGAAAATATTGGAGTTGTCAAAGATTTCATTTTATTTGGATCCACATTGAATGCTCATGGAAGCAGCAGTCGAGAAATCAGATGCCGTACTATATTGGGCAAATCTGCTGCAAATGACTTCTTTAAAGTGTTAAAGAGCAAAGATGTCACCTATAGGACTAAGGTGTACCTGACCCAAGCCATTTTCTTTTGAAGAGCCTCATATGCATATGAAAGCTATATAATGAATAAGGAAGACCAAAGAAGAGTTGATGCATTTGGATGATGGTGTTGGTGAAGAATATTGAATATACCATGGACTACTAAAAGAACAAACAAATTTGTATCGGAAGAAGTAAAGCCAGAATATTCTTTGAAAGTGAGACTTTGTCTCATACACTTTAGACATGTTATCAGGAGGGACCAGTCTCTGGAGAAAGACATCATGCTTGTTGAAGTAGAGGATCAGTGAAAAAGAGGAAGTCTTTCAACAAGAAAGGAGCTCTGGTGGTGCAGCTGGTAACCAAAAGTTTGGTGATTTGAACCCACCAGCCACTCTGAGAGAGAAAGAGAGGCAGTTCACTTCCTTAAAGATTTACAGCATTGGAAACACTATGGGGCAACTCTACTTTGTCCTACAGAGTCACTGAGTCAGAATCAACTTGATGGCAATTGATTTGGTTTTTTGTTTTCTTTCAATGAGATGGACAATAGTGGCTGCAACAATGGGCTCAAACATGGCAATGATTAGTCGGATGGTGCAGGACCAGGCAATGTTTTGTTGTTTTGTACATGGTGTCCCTATGAGTTGGAACTGACTTGACAGCACCTAACATAAACATTGTTTAGTTAAGGAACTGTTGTGGTACAGTGGCTAAGTGCTCAACTGCTAACTGAAATGTTGATGGTTTGTACTTCAGCCTCTCTGTGGGAGAAAAATGTGGCAGTCTGCTTCTGTAAAGACCACGACTTTGGAAATCCTAGTTCTACTCTGTCCTATAGAGTCTCTATGACTTGGAATTGACTCTGATACTGGGGTATTGTCTATAACTTTCCAGTTTTGTACAAATTTGCAGTCCCATCAGAAAAAGTAATAGCATTCCTCTCTTGTCTTTATTGTCATAATTTTAAACTCTGCTTATTTGAATGTAATAATTGTCTAATTATTGCCTTCATGTGCATTTATTTGATTATTCATGAGTTAATACTTTTTTTTTCATGTTTATTGCTTTTTAGTTATATTCTGTTCTGTGGATTATCTATTCATGCCCTCTGCTCACTTTCCCATTGGGTTTTTACTGAGTTGTGTGAGCTTTACATGTTAAGAATAAAACCTTTGTCTATGTCTATCATGAGAAGCTCTGGTGGCATAGTGCCTAAGGCATTTGACTGCTAACCAGAAGATTGGCAGTTCAAACCCATCAGCCTCCTCAGAAGGAAGGTTGGGCAATCTATTTCCGTAGTGATACTGCCCTGGAAACCCAAGGAGGGGCCGCTATGAGTCGAAATTGACTCGACAGCAGTGAATTTGGTTTTTGGTTTATGTCTATCATATTTGTGAAAAATTGTTTTCCCATCATGTTGTTTGCTTTTTAATTGTATATATGACACTTTCCATCATAATTTAAAATTTTTACATAGTTAAATCTATCAACATTTCTTCTGTGATTTCTTCCATTGTTTTTATATTTAGACTATCTAGTTAAATAATCACTTATAACTTATTGGTTTTTATTATTTAAATTTACTATGTAGACATTAGTTCCATTTACAGAATTAACAAACTGAATTTTTGCATTTGACTGCTAACCAGAAGGCTGGCGGTTCAAACCCACCAGCCACTCCTTGGAAGGAAGGTTGGGCAATCTACTTCCGTAGTGATACTGCCTCAGAAACCCAAGGAGGGTCGCTATGAGTTGGATCTGACTCAAAGGCAGTGAATTTTTTTTAAATAACCAATGTTCCTAAATAGTATATAATCCTTTCCTTCTTGGTGGCATACAAAAAAAAAAATCACCTCTATCATATTTAAAATGTTATAGAGCTATGGTTTTCAATCTTGAGTGTACATTGGAATCACCTGGGAAGTTTTGAAAACCACTGGTGCCTAGACCTTATCCCAAGAGGTTCTAATTTAATTGTTCTGGGGTACAACCTGGGTATAAGTGTGTGTGGGGAGGTATTGCAAAGCTCCCCGGGTGATTTTAATGTGCAGTCAAGGTTAATAACTACTGCTAAAGTGTTTAGAACCTGATTGTCATCCTGAGGTAAGCATCAGAGTCAGTTATGGAGTCTTGAGTAACTCTCCCCAAACATGGAGAATTTTATTCTGTTCATCTGGGCTTGGACCTGGGTATAAAAAACCAAACCCACTGCCATCAAGTCAATTCCAACTCATAGTGACCCCCATTGGGTTTCCAAGGCTGTACATCTTTACAGAAGTAGATTGTCTCATCTTCTTCCTGTGGAGCAACTAGTGGATTATGAACCACCGACCTGGTTAGCAGTCAAATGCCTTAGCCACTATGCCACCAGAGGTCCTTGGACCTGGGGGTACAGAGACCTTTAAAAGCCCACAGGTAATTCTTAGCACATCTTCAGCAGGCAGCCACCTACTATTACTAGATTATCTATTCTGTTTCACTCATTGCTCTAGTGTTCTTTGGGCTATAACAACTGATTTGATTATTATAGCTTTATTGTGAACTTTAAGGATCCCTGGTGAAGCAGTAGTTAAGGACTCAGCTGCTAACTGAAAGGTTGGCAGTTCAAACCCACCAGCCACTCCATGGGAGAAAGATGTGGCAGTCTGCTTCTGTAAAGATTACAACCCTATGGGCAGTTCTACTCTGTCCTATAGGGTCGCTATGAGTTGGAATTGACTCGGCAGTATACAACAATGGGAATTTTAATGTTTACTATGGCCAGTCCCCTTTTGAACTCTTTAAGAAATTTGTAGATATCTACTTTTGTCTGTTTATGCTTCTGCATCAGTGGTTCTCAAATTTTAACCTGAAGAACTTGTCAAAAATACAAGGGACCAAGCCCCATCCCATTACAGCATGGTGTCTGTGCTCCGTATTAGAGGTGATTCTGGAACACACAAAAGTTTGAGAACCACTGTTTTAGAATCTAATCCTCCTCATTTCTTGAGTTAAAACATAAACTTACTGGGCTTTTTATTAGATTTGCGTTAAGCCTCCAACGTAGTCTGCAAGGCTCAATTTAAGCTCACTTTCTCTATAAAGACCTTTCGGATTACTCCAACCCACATTCATATCTCTCTTCTCCAAGCCTTTAATCAGTTGACAGCCAATTATCATTTAGGTCCCAGGTATTTAGCTTAATACTTACTTGTGTGTAATTCTTTTTGTAATGGAGTCTGGTGCTCCTACTAGATTGTAAGGACATAGAGGTCAGGCAGGGTTGGTATCTCTTCCATAGTTTCCAGTATGGTACTGGCACATGGAAGGTACTCCATAAGTGCTTACCTTCATAATTTCCACGATTTCCTTGAGTTTATCAAAATCTTTGTCCATTACATCTTTTATCTAATAAGGAAGAAAGGCATGGCTTGACAAGACATGGCTTGACAACTGAAGACAGTTGCAGAGTCTTCTTTGGAGCTTTATAAACAAAAGGCTGCAGCTGCTTCTATGGAATGAGCTGGAGAAAGCTCAAGGAATGGATTAATAATGGCTTACTAAAGCCACTTTCTTCCCAAGGAGTCTATGAAGGGACTAGGGTACCTGTACCACCAAGTCATTTATCATCACCCTCAGCTTTAGTAAGGCTTAGATCTGGCTTATTGCAAGGCTTACATGTGGAGCTCAGACTACAGTGTCAATTATTCATCCCTCCTTGATTATTTTCCTTTTGTAAAGTATGCTATAGGTGGTTCCTGGGTAATACAAATAGTTAACATGTTTAGCTGCTAACACAAAGATAGGACGTTCTAATCCACCCAGTTACCTGGGAAGAAAGGGCGGCAATCTACTCCTAGAAAACAAACAAAAAAATCCATGGATATTGAAATCCCTGTGGAGCACAGCTCTTTACTTAAGTCAGGTTGCCATAACTTGGAATTGACTCAATGGCAACTGGTATATGTGATTCTGTCATAGAAACAAGAAGAGTTCTAGCTCCACAGTGGTCCCAGGACTGATGAGTTAAGAGGAAGGAATTGGTCCCTGATTGTCCCCAAATCCAGGTCAGCCCTCTCACTCTGCTTGGTCACTAAGGTTGTATCAGCCCAATCTTATCAATGAGGCACCTTAGAGAGTCCTTATATAACAAAAATGCAATGCACTGCCATCAAGTCAGACTTGACTCATAGCGACCTCTCCTTGGGTTTCCAATGCAGTATCACTATGGAAGTAGATTGCCCAACCTTCCTTTCGAGGAGTGGCTGGTGGGTTTGAACTGCCAGCCTTCTGGTTAGCAGTCAAATGCCTTAGGCACTATGCCACCAGAGTCTAAATATTTGGAAAGACTCTAAATAAATAAATAAATAATAAGTTTTAAGTATCGAACAAGAAATGAATATCCTAAGCCACCCAACACTTAAGCACCCTAATGGATTGTAGCTGAGTTGGTTTTATTGCTTTTCCCATGAAACTCCTGATTTCCTTCATTACTGAAAGTTAGGAGTTGCATTTTTCTTTAAGCTACCCTTCTCCCCCATGTTATGTAAACACTCATCCTTTTACCTGCTTTATCTCCTCCATTTTTTCCTTGAGCTCTTCCCTCACTTTCCTGAGTTCATTCTGAGGAAATAAAATGGGGAAGAGAATGAGTGGAGAAATGTCTTGGATGGAAGGAAACTGATAAATGGAGGAAAAGAAAGATCCTGGAGCACTGCCAAAAGAGAAACCCAGAGATACTTCCCATCAGGGAGGAAAGAAAGGATGTTGTAAAAAAAGTAGGTTAATGGGGCATGTGGACATCGTGTGCCTCCTGATAGGATGTACTGTGTGTCAGGTCTGTGACATGCTGCCAGGGTGCGAAACCTAAACCCAGTCTCGAGGAAACATCAGACAATCCCAAATTAGAGGTCATTCTACAAAATAAATGATTTGTAATCCTAAAAATGTCAGCATCAGAGAAGACAAAAGTTGAAGAACTGCTCCAGATTATAGGAAACTAAAGAGAATGACAACTAGATGTAACATGTGATCCTGAATTGGATCCTGGACCAGAAAAGGTTTTTTTTTTTTTCTTCCTTGGTCATGAAAGGCTTTTGTGAGACAATTGATAATATTAGAATAAAAACTGTAGATCAGTACAAGTATCTATGTTAATTTCCTGATTTCTGTTATTTTACTCTGGATATTGTTTGAGGAAACACAGACTGAGGATTTAGGGGTAAAGGGATAACTTATTCTCAAATGGTTCAGGATATAACTAACAGGAACATGTAGAGATATGGGGAGAGAACAAGAATAAAGCAACCACAGGACAGGATCAGAGACCATGGACTCTAACAACTGATCCATGTTTTCTTCTATCTTTTACCATGACTGTATCTACTGCCTCATCTTGATTTATAAGCAAAACCTGGAAAACCTGGTTTATCTAGGAATAACACAGAAAATATTAGTTATTTTGGTGAAGAAAATCAATTTTGTACAGTTTATTTCAATCTAAATAAAATGTGAATTTTGTTTAAAAAAAGAATAAAGCAACCACAAGAAAATGCACACATGAGGGAGTCTGGGCGAAAGGTATACTAGAATTCATTGTGCTATTTTTTTGCAACTTTCTGTAAGTCTTAAATTATATCAAAATAAAAAGTTAAAAAAGAAAGAATCCGAGGGAATGAGATCACAAGGCCTAGAGCAGCGCTGTAGGCGCCGACAGCTTTATTTGAGCTCAGCTGAGTTGCTGGCCACCAACTCTCCTCCCACGTGCTGATTCCCCCTGCCATCCGGATTCACACTCTTACCTTTAAGTCATGTGTCCCTCCTGTCTTGGTTGATGGCCCTTCTTGTTTAACTCCTTTGTAGTCATATGCCTGTTGATCGAAACCGGAAATGCAGAACCTCAGAAAGTACAAATGTGGGTGGATGAGGCAGGAGAGGTGCCCCTGAGATTCTGTTCCTCCTGAGGGCCAGGGCACAGAGGTGATAGCTGGGGGCCACACCTGTTCACAAGTTTCTCTCAATCCTTTTCCTTCTCTGAGCTCATGTCTCCCAGGTCCCATGGGCTCAGCTCTTTCTGTCCTTTGAACAGCTAAGCTTGTCTCCACCTTAGAGCACAGCATTTGCTTCTTCCTCTGCCCAAGAATGCTTTTTCTCTTTTCTTTGCATGATCTTTAGCTCAAATGAAGGCCTGCCCTGACCATCCAATCTAAAGCAGCCACCCAATCACTTCCCTATTTTACTTCTCTGCATAGTCCATGTAACAATACTGAATTTTTCTTCTTTCTCGCTCTCTCTCTTTCCCTCTCTCTCTCTGTTCCTCTTCCTCCCCCTCCCACTTCCTCTCTCTCTCTCTCTCTCTCCCCCATAATACCTGGGACAGGTCCTGGCCACCAGGAACAGTGAATGACCCCTAACTCCACCTAGCCCCCATGACCCTCAAGCCTAGCTGTCTGCATGGCCTCAAGAAAGCTTCTTACTTTGGTGGGCTCTGCCTTCAATTCCAGGCAAACTGTCTTGCAGTTCTTGTTCTGCAGAGAAAGGCAGTGGAAGTCAGCCTGTCAGTCATCAGGATTATGGGAGGGCTAAGGAGGTAGCATAGTGGCTAAAGCACTTGACTGCTAACCAGAAGGCTGGCGGTTCAAACCCACCAGCCACTCCTCGGAAGGAAGGTTGGGCAATCCTACTTCCGTAGTGATACTGCCTTGGAAACCCAAGGAGGGGTCGCTATGAGTCTGGGCTGACTTGACGGCACATAACAACAACAACAACAAGGAGGTCATAGGAGTTTCTGGGTAATACAAACAGTTAAACACTCAGCTGCTAACTGATAGGTTGGTGGTTCAAATCTAACCAGACATGCCACAAAGGAAAGACCTAGCAGCCTACTTCTGAAAGATTGGTACTACTCATTGCCATCCAGTCAATTCCAACTCATAATGCTCCCCCACCTTGGGTTCCCAAGGCTGTAAATCTTCATGGAAGCAGACTGCCTCATCTTTCTTCTGCAGAGTGGCTAGTGGGTTGAACCACCAACTTTTGGTTAGCATCCAAATGCCCTAACCACTACACCACTAGAGCTTTTTCTTGAAAGATTATAGCCATCGAAAATCCTGTGGAACCTAGTTCTGCTCTGACATACACAGAGTCTCCATGAGTCAGAATTAACTCGATAGCAACTGGTTTAACACTCAGCCCTTGCAAAAGGACACCTACTCTAACCTTTCTGCCCAGCTGTGCTTGAGCTCAGGCCCACATAACCCCCAACACACCTACCTGATTCAGGACAACTCAAATCTTGTCATATTATACTCTTCTTACACACATGTGCCTGACCATTCAGCAGGCAGCCCTCTCCTTGCTGGAAGGGCCTGGGCAAAGAGAGCACTTTAAGATAACTTTAAAGAAGCCAAGCATTGGTTTAGGAGCACAGGCTTTGGGGATAGACAGACCTGGGTTCTAATCTCACCTGTCCTTACTAGCTGGGTCAACTTGGACAAGATACGTAGTCTCTCTGAGCCTCCATTTTCTCAGCTATAAAATGGGGGTGACAATTATATTTACCAGATTAGGTTATTTGAGAGCCTTAGGCATGAATGTCAGATGCTGACATGGTGCAAGCCCGGCCTGGGGTCACGGCTCTGTGAGTGAGCAGGGGGTATAACAGTGCTCCTTGTGCCAAGAGGAAGTCAGCAGAGGTCTCTTTCCTTCCCACTCCAAAGCTAGGGACTAATCCCACCCCAATTCCAAGCTAAGAAGCTACTTCAAGCTCCAAACAGAGAAGAGAATAATCAAAGATTCATAGGATCGTTCTCTCCCCCACTCCACCTCCATGCAGTAGGAGCTCAAAGAGACCCCACATTACTCAGCAATGTTTCTCCTTTACCAGGTTTGTCTTCTTCAGTTCTGCCCTCTTGGCCGACATGATGGAGGAGGCCAGAATGTTCTTTAGCTCCCCAGCCTCCCCACAACAGCCCCTGTGACCAGGCCACTCCTATGCAAATTACAGGTCCAGGGGAGAGCAGGATGACCACCACTCTGTGTGCGGAACAGCTGAGGTCACAATGCCCAGGACCCACATACTGGCCAGGGGTGCCCTGGCCATGGAGAGGAAGGGCTCAGGTCAGGTTCAAAACAACAAGGTCTTCCCCTCTGCAAGGAGGAGAAGGGGCTCTCCCAGGAAAGACCACACTGGTGAGAACCATGGCCTGTTATAGCTGAAGAACAAGGCATACTTAATGAGGATGAAGAAGAATTCCTGGCTACCTGAAGTCCTTCCACAGCAGGAATAACTTGTTGATCAGGAAGAGGGGTCTTACCTGTGAAAACCAGCTTCTTCTCTGAGCTCACATGCCATTTTCTCACCTGTGCTTTCCTGACAAGGGCAGAGCCTTCCTCAGGCAGAAGCTACTTTCGGTTGGGATGCCCCAAGTCTCTCTGGTTCATCAAGCATATACCATCTTAACCCAGGGTTTTCTGCTCTGTGAGAAGGGGAGTGCTGTTCTCCCAGGATGATTTTCTAATGCCTGTATGGCTGCCCCTGTTTCCTCTCTTCTCCTTCCCCCACTCCCAAATCTCATCCTCTGTTTCTATCATCTGGAAGAGACATGGGGCAAGAAGAAATATTCCAGCAGCACTAATGTTTGGAAACTTTGGGGGGGGGCGGGGGGGCAGGTAG